GTGAAGCAAGACTTTGTGTGTGAAGTGAAAAAGGGGTTTGGTGCCGCGTCGCTGCAATGGATGAGCCAGCTGTGACTGAACCAGACTATTCCACAGCCCTCCCCGACGTAAATCCAGCACAAGCACATCAACAGGGTATGAGCCCAAATACCGCAGGCGTAACTGCCGCTACCGATGTGCAGATGCCAACGCAAGACGCTGTAATGGCGGCTGGTAATCAGGGGAGTGATGATGGTGTTGCTGTGAGGACGATGGCGGTGGCAGTGGCCACGGGCCAGTCTGGAGGCACCCCGAATTGGCAGGCCATGGAGGCCAGCCCACCTGAGCGCATGGAGATGGCTCATGAGCGGATCATGGGTGCAGCGGAGCATTCGTTTGGGCAGATGAATGCCGCACAAGCTTCATGGAGTGTTATGGCGACGCGAAGATCTACGCCGGCGTGGATTCAGAGGCTTGGAGCTTTTTTCCAGGAGATGAGAAGCCAGCAGACAGCTTGGCCGCCTTCGCCTCTGGGATCACCGCCGGCAAGGCCTATGCAGAGCCAGCGAGGCTCGCCGGAAATGGAGCAGCGAGGCTGGGGTTCCCCGGTGTTTTTGAGCCCGGAGCAACAGGAGCAGTTTCGCAGGATGGAACAGAGAGCGCCACTCCTGTATGGGCCGCCTCGAGGAGAGAGACAACCGGAGGGCAATGGCAGCTCTGGTGGGAGCACCTACGAAGCGGTGCCGGAGGAGGTCAAGAGGCAACTGCGAGGAGTTGTCTCGCAGCTCGAAGCGTCAAGAAGAGAGGCGCAAGATCTACGACAAGAAGTGGAGCTTCTGCGTACAGCGAGAGGACAGGTTGGGTCCAGCAGACAACTGGAAGACATGGTGATGCCAGAGGGGCCTCCAGTTACGCTGGGAGGATACTTGACTGGTCAGCAAGCAGAGGTGGAGATTGGCGCCACAGCAGGTTCTTCTACGGGAGTGGGGTCGGGCCTACAAGCAACCATGCCTACAACCGGGGCGTCGGGCTTACGTGCAGGCTCGTCTACCAGAGAGGGATCGGGCGCACAAGCAACTATGCCTACAACCGGGGCGTCGGGTTTATGTGCAGGTCTGTCTACCAGAGGGGGATCGGGCGTGCAAGCAGCAATGCCTACCACTGGGGTGTCGGGCTTACATGCAAGGACTGCTACAAGTACGGGACCTGGTGGGCAAATGGGACAGGCTATACCTTTGTCTACGGGCCTGGGCGAGGGAATTAGCCAGCAGCTGTCGGCAGCTCCGACAGGACAAGGACCACAGAGCGCGGCAACGATGATTCCTGGAGCGATGACGGGATCTGGTGGCGCAACAGCTGGAAGCTCGGACCCTATGTCAAGGCTTCTGGAGGGACTCGAGAAGGTCATCAAAGGAGGGAAGCCAGAAGAGCTGAGCAAGGCCGTAGATGCACCCAAGTTGCCTGAAATTTCGGAGTCGTCATCGGTGGACTTTGGGGATTGGCTGTACCTCATAGAGCATGTGATGAGTGACCTTTCAACGTCCAGTGCAGAGTGGTGGGCTACAGTTGTGAAGGATGCTCAAGATTTCTATGAAAGGTACCAGGCTGCAGACCAGTTTTCGAGATTGTCTATGAAGCCAACAGCGTCCCCAACCCTCAACGAGGTAAGATGGAGTCGTTTGGACCGGAGGGGTGCAACTATATTGCTGGGAGCTACTCCAGATGACATCAAGAAGGAGTTGGTCGCGACGAGGACAAGGACAACTCTGGAGGTTCTGGCGAGGCTCATGGTTATTTATCGTCCGGGCAGTGCTTTGGAGAAGGGTCAGTTGCTTCGGAGGATTGAGAGCCCGGATACTGCAGCTACAGTACAAGAAGCCATCGAAGGGCTTAGGCAGTGGCTGAGACACTACCAGAGGGCCAGAGACCTGAAGTTGTCGGTTCCAGATCCGTCGGTGACTCTTCGAGGAATAGACCAGCTGGTCAAGAAGCCGATCCAGGAGAACCCCGAGATCGCGTTCCGCATGAACTTGCTCCGCTACCACATGAAGGTTGATTTCTCCCCGAGGAGTCGGTCTTAGCGGTGCACCGGGCGCTTCTGGCAGAGTTCGAGCAGATGGGTTTCAAGAAGAAGGCCAAGCAGGTCCAGGAGGGTACCTCAACAGCCAGAGTGAGGGCACTAGATTCACAACAAGCTCAGGCCCCCACGGCTGCTACGCCAACGTCACCTTCGTCTACTGGGAAAGGAGCAAGGCCATGCCGATTCTACGTTACGGACGAGGGGTGCAGGCGGGGGAAAGCATGCAAGTATGAGCACACTATGAAGGATCTCAGCAAGGCCGAAAGACGTGACCGATGCTATGAGTGTGGGGCGAAGGGTCACATGGCTATGGCTTGCCCAACGAGGAAAGAAGCGCAACAGAAGGCGGTTTCTGCCGGAGATTCGCCTATGTCCTCTACGGGGGGAACGAGTGGTCGTGGAGCAAAGGGAGGCAAGGGACAGCGAGTGGGTGACCAAGGGGATGCAGGAGTCCCTCAGTCGGCTACTACTTCTACCACGACACCCACCCCGACGGCAACGGCGACAGAAACCCCGGTGCAAGGTGTCCCGGTGGAGCAGCTGATTGAAGATGCTCAGAAGCTGATGAAAGCTTTTATGGAGCAGAAGGCGCAACCTACGGTGCAGGCACTCCGGGTAGATGAGTCCGTGTTTACAAGGAGATGCGAAGCACCAGCGCTGCGCGAGTTCATGAAGCAGAATGAGGACCTGATCCGCATGAATCGTATGGGACTCTTGGATTCGGGTGCGACTCACCCGCTACGTGCTCGCAATGAGCGAGACCAGCCCGGGACCATGGACAACGTCAACGTGACCTTGGCTGGAGAAACGCGGGTACAAATGGAGCAAAACAAGGCGGGAACCTTTATCTCGCATCAAGACGCACAGCCGATAGTACCTCTGGGAACATTGGTCAAGGCTCTCGGCTACGAGTTTGTTTGGGATCGCAAAGGATGTGGTCTTCGACACCCGGACAGAAAGGAGGTTCGAGTGTATACGAGGTCAACTTGCCCAGAGGTTATGCAATGTGACGCGCTTCGTTTGATCGCTGAGTTGGAGGAGGCGAAGCTCACGGAGACGATGAGTTCGTTGGCACAGCTGAAGGCCTCGGTTGCAGCCGCTAGAGAACACCAGGAAAAGAGTTGGAGGGATCATGTGCGGGACTATGTCACTTCGGGGGTGTATGAGGATGGGGTCAAGGCGGTGATGTGTGCTCCCTTCATGCACCATGTGCCTATGAGAGACCAGCTACAGACGATTGTTCCCATGCCCAAGGACGAAGGTGAAGCTTGGCAGTGGATGAAGAGGTTTCCGATGAACAGGGCCAAGAGGAGGACTTTGTGGCAGACAAGAGACTGGACTGTCCATATGTTCTCGGGAGCTGGAGTGAAGAACGATCCTCTACGTGATCTTCCTGGCCTGGTGGAGATCGATATAAAGAAGGGTTGGGACCTCAACGATGACAAGATCTATGGGGTGGTGTTGTGGATGGCAAAAGAGGGGCGAGTGAAGCACGTCATTGGTGGACCGCCCGCAGGAACGTTCGCTCCATGGCATTACAAGAAAGATCAAGAAGGACGTCACAGGCCTCTACGCTCGACACACGAACCTTGGGGGCTTCGCGAAGGCCTCAATCCAGATGAGAGCTCAAAGGTCCTCAATGAGAACGTCATGCTCTGCAAAATGGTGTGGCTATGGTTGTGTGCTGAAGCGGCGCATGAGGGCCAAGAGGGAGATCATGGCAGGCACCATGTTGGTTTTTGTATGGAGTACCCGGAGGATCCTCACAACTACATGCCGGAGGGAGAGCATCGTGATGCGTGTGTTTCGTTGTGGAGAACCGAGTTCATGAAGGAGTTTACAAAGGAGACCACCCAATAGACCCGGTTAGACAAA